AAAAAAAAAAAAAAGAAAAGAAAAGAAAAAAAAAGAAACAAACTCTTGCCGTAGGATGGAGCATAAAAGAAAAACACCCAGGTCTGAAGGATACAGTATTCCATGTGAAGTACAGTTAATATCTTACATTGGAGAACCATTAAAGAGAGATGAAACTTTTAGTGCTCTGTGTTAATGATATGTATTTAAGCAAAGTCACAGTGTCAAGTTCTAAGCTCAGAGAAGAGCCCTGAAATGGGGATGCTGTCATTGGAATGTTAAAAATGTCTACTGGGAGGGTGGGGAGTGCTCATCAAGTATCCCACATGGTTTTAAACAGAGGAAGCCACAGGGTGCTGGGTCTATTGTTTCTTCTGTTTGTATGGCTTTGCAGGCTGTGGGACATAATCCCAGAATCACTAAAAAAGGACATAAAGTCATTGTTAATATTTAAAACTCAACCTTTGAAAATATTTTAACTTGTAAAAAAAGAGCTTCTATTTTTATGTGTATTTAAGTGCCCCACATGCATGCAGTGTCCACAGAGGTCAGAAGAAGGCATTGGATTCCTGGAATGGGAGTGACAGACCACTGTGAATTGCCATGTGGGTGCCAGGAACAAAACTCAGGTCCTCTGCAAGAGCAGCCAGTGCTCTTGACCACTGAGCCACCTCTCCAGCCCCAGCACTCAGCTTTCATGATGGGGTGGGGGGCTCTTTTAAAACCCACACTTGAGGGCTGGAGAGATGGCTCAGAGGTTAAGATCACTGACTGCTCTTCCAAAGGTCCTGAGTTCAATTCCCAGCAACCACATGGTGGCTCACAACCATCTGTAATGAGATCTGGTGCCCTCTTCTGACCTGTGGGCATATGTGCAGACAGAACACCGTATACATAATAAGTAAATCTTAAAAAAAAAAAAAAAAAAAAAAAAAAACCCACACTTGAGAAGAAATTCAAGCTGGTTAACAAACGTTTGTTAGCCAGCTCACAGGTCACAGATCACAGACACTTTAGCTTTCTGTTTCTGTCTACATAAGGAAGATCTGTTATTCAGTTTCTATCAGGATAGACTCCCGGAGATTGTGTGTGTGTGCGTGCATGCGTGTGTTCCAACTTTGGCCTTTCAGAATTCTTTAAAGTTGATTCCTTGGTGCTTATGACATCATGAGCCTTTGACCTTCTTGGGTTGTTTTGGGGGTTCAGCATACATTTTCTAGTACTTCCAGACTCATCTTTAGTCTTACTGCCCATCAAACCACCACCAAACACACACAGGGAAACCATAGTCCTTGCCCTAAGGAAAAAAATGGTTTTAAAAACCAAGATCTGGGCATGAGATGCACTCAGCATTTGCACTAGTTGGGTATCCATGCATCCATGCATTGCCTCCCTTGGGGACATAGCTTGGCCACAGATGTACATACATTAATCCTTGTATACACAGATACTGCATATCTAGAATGCTCTAAGTTAGGATGCTCATACTGATTTCCCTAATGCTCAAGTCAGCACAGCACCCTTCATTCTTAGCCCTTTATGGTTTGTAGCTTCATTTCTGTGACAGCCAGCCCTGTTTCCTATCACTTGAGATCTATTAACTTCAATTCTGCTGTGCTTAGAATTCTATGAGGTGCAGACTGCTAAGCAGTATCCCCATGAGAAATGAATTCCCGGCATCAATACAGAATCTGCCTTTCTCATCAGCTTACCGGTATCCAGTCTAAGCACTGTTCTCAAAGGTTAAGACACTGAGGGAGGACTGTTATGACTTCTAGGCCCATCTGGCCTACACAGTGAGACTGGGTCTCAAAACGCAAGAACAAAAGTTAGATCAAGGCTGAAACCCTCGTGTGGCAGTGTGAGCCTGTAATCTGTGCTGCTTGAGAGGCCAAGGCAGAAGGACACCAAGTTCAAAGCCTGCCTGTGAAGAATCAGCTCAAGGGCAGCCTGTGCAACTTGGTCAGACTTGTCTTCAAAAAGTAAGAAGAGGGCTGGAGAACGAGCTCGCATGTCTGGAGTCTGTCCCTAACACCACAAAAGAATAAAAGTTAAGTCTGCTCTCAGATTTACAGATGCGCATACGTAGTCACATCTTTTAAAGTTGGTTCATTATTATTGGAATTTGGATGATCTAGATACACAGCAGAAGCAAAGAAACAAAAAGTCTGCTTTGTTGAGATACTTTCCTCCTTTCATTTTTTAAAATTTATTTTTCCGTATATAACTGTTTAGCCTGCATGTATGTCTGTATACCGCGTGTGTGCCTGGTGCCCAGGACGGCTAGAAGAGGATGTCAAATCTGCTGAGACTAACTGTCATGTGAGACCTGGGAATGAAGCCTGGGTCCTCTGGAAAGCAGCAGGACTTTTTCTCCAGCCCCTCTCCTTGCTCAACTTTAATGTTACTTAGATGGTGGACTACTGCAGACTAGGTAAGTTTGATTTTTCTGGTTTCTGTCTTGCAATTTTATAAAATAGTACTTGAATGTAGCAATCTTTACCAACTGTCAGGGAAGAGCAGTTTCATTCTTCTCTTGTAACAACTTTGTAACCCCTGATTTTCTATTAATACCCTGAGGTCTGGAAAATAAAAGGTGAAGGAAGTGAGCTGGTCCACAAAAACAATCGTGGTATACATTGTTACAACCGAAGAAAGGCATACTAAAGTAATTGTCTCAGGAAACCAGAGGTGATATTTTGTATCTTCCAAACCAAATGCCCGTGAGGTGTACTTTTGAGATCTTTGTGATGACCTGATTCTGTATCAATTCACCAATTATGTGTGTCCACATGTGACAAAAGGGCTTGAAAACCACTGGACATTCGTGTCATGTCCCAGCGTCAGCTTCCTGCTTTTGAAGTCACTCTTTGGTGACCTACAGTGTACGGAATCTGGGTGAGGGTTACATGGAACCTCTCTACTGTTTTTCCAAGTTTCCGAGAAACCACAATTCACAAATAAAACGTTTTTAAAGTGATATTTAAAGCTTCCAATTAAAATTAAATGCATATACACTAAAACAAAATTGTCTTAACTTTTTCTTGTACTATGGTCATAGTAAATCCTCAAGTGAGATCAAATTAGCTGTTGCATGTGTAATGGGATATTTAGAACCCCATTCTCTTTGGCTGAAAATTTTACTGAGAGAACATCTTAAGGAAAATTTCCGCCCTCTCATCCCTTCCTAATAATAGAGAAGTGTCTTGCCCATTTGTCTTCCCAGTGTAGAATCTCTACAAGGATATTCAAAGACTCTGAGCTTATACTTATAAAAACTATATTGCTAACTATTTCCTATCTCCTGCCTTCTTCCCCTGCATTTACCTGGCCAAGGGCAGCTCTGGTTGGCCTTCAGCAGCTGTCTGCTCTCGGCCTGCACCTGAGCGTGGCTGGCATTTAATGCTGAAATGTAGAATCCGGCTCCTTTCCAAGTTCAGGACCATAAATCCAAGATAGATTTCTGCTGCCTGCTTCACCATTCCAGTTTGTGTTCTTCGAAGTCATGGTCATAGCCAAGTGTGGTGGCATATATAAACTCAACACTTCCAAGGTGGAGGCAAAGGGGTCAGGGGTAGAAGGTCATTCTCAGTTATAAAACAACTTTGAGGCCAGCCCAGGCTCCAGGAGACCTGGTCTCAAAATCTCAAAGGAAGTAGGCAAACAGAACCCCCAATCACCATCATGCTTTGTGTTTTTTCTCAGAATATTCTTAGGCCACCTCCTTTACATTCTCGTCAGATGAGCTTGCCTCGTGTTTCACTGGGAACAGAAGCAATTAGATTATCCTCTTCCCGTCAACCTGCCCTCGTCAGTATCCACAGTCACCTCTCTTTCCATGAAGCACCCTTGCATATATCAGTATCCTCACCTCCTATTCACCCTCAACGCCTTCATTGAAGTGTCTGTTAATGGAAATGCTCATCAAAACTTTCCTGGCCGCCATCTTGCCAATAATCTTACTAAAATTTTTTTTTCAGATTTATTCTTATTTATGTGTATGTATCTGTGTGCCACATAGGCCCACAGAGGCCAGGAGGGGGTTTCAGATCTCCTGGGCTGGAGTTAAGGCAGTTGTTAGTCACCGGACGTAGGAGCTGGGATGTGAACTCAGGATCTCTGCAAGAGAAGCAAGTGCTCTTGGGCACTGGATCGTTCAGCCCCCTAAGTCCTCAGCTGAACCCATAGCTCCACTTTGCACACTTGCCCACTCTTCCCAGTTGCCTTCCCGAGTCATACTAAGGGTATTTTATGTGTCCTTTGACTGGGTTTGGGGGTACCTAGGAAATGGTTCAAACATTTTGACTGTTCCTATAAAGACAGTTTTTAGCTGTGATTAACATTTAAATCTGTAGATAACACTATAGTTAAAGCAGGTTTCTCTCTGGTGTGGGTAGACCTCAGCCAATTCACCGAGGGCCTGAATGGAACAAAGGCATTCCCGGAGTCCTTAGCATATGCTACACATATTCCAGGGGCGAGACAAGACAGCAGACAAAACATCGTCTTTTAGTCTGTCAAGAAGGGACAATTCTCAAAGAAATAGCACCTTGCAATGTGCTCGCGTGAAAATCAGCAGATCATGTGATTGGGGTTGCTAGCAAGCTGTCTTGCAGACAGCAGGACAGAAAAATCCAGTGACAGCTCTGTTAAGCCACTTTCTTGCCGCCTGCTGGAATTTTTACCTAGTTCTTGGGATTCGGTTCACTTGCTAAAGATGCCTATGATAATAATAGAACCTTGTCTCCTTGGGTTCTGAGAATGTGTACTGAATATTAAGTGTCGGTGGCTGCCATACAGAAGAACACTGAGTACCTTTTTCCTATTTAAATGCAGAGCTGGCATATGGCTTCTACAAGAAAGAACCGATTCAGCTGAGATCTAAAAGATGAAAAGGATCCAGTCTTGTGCAGTGGGTTGAGGATGAATATTTGCAAGCAGAGGATGGCCCAAAAAGTGGTGCTACCTCTGGGGAGGTGAGTGGTCACGTGGGACCTCGTAGACCTGCCTAGGGATTTGGATTTTATTCAAGTGGGGCACGAAGGTCATTTGGAGTGTGACATGATGAGAGTTGGACCAGTCTTGTTCAGATCTCTAAAAGGATCTCACCATCGCAAGCTGGAGGATGGGTTTCCAGGTAAGCAAGAGAGCGAGACCTGGTTAGCAAGCGGACCAGTTAGGAAGTTTGAGGACTCTGCCGGGATATTTGGGGGTTTTCTTCGTTTATTTGTTTTATGGGGGCCATGGTTTGGGGTTTTGGATTGGTGTATGTGAGTGTGCTTGCCTGTGTGTGCGTGGTATATGGTGTGTGGGGTGTGGGGTGTTGGGTGTGGTGAACCTAAGAGGAAGCCTTCAGATGACCTGCTCCTAGTCCCTTCAAACAGGAGGCTCTCACTGCAGCTGGCACGCACCATTTTGTGTTGTGGTTTGGTGAGGCTGGCCACCAGCAAGCCCCGACACCCTTCTGTTCCCACCCCCCTCCCAGCACTGGGGTTATGGAAGCATACAGCTGTTCCTGGACTGGGGTGGTGGAGATTAGAACTCAGGTCCTCACACCGACCATGTCATCTCCTAGACCTTATCTTGATTTTTCAAACACCATGTGCTCTTGAAGAATTGTTTTTTTATTACATTTATGTGCTTGTGTGCTTCATGCATGTGCAGAGATCAGGGGACAAACGATGGGGTCAGTTTTCTCCTTTTACCATGTGAATACTGGGGGTCGAACTCAAGTCTTCAGGCTTGAAGGCAGGTGCCTTCGCCAGCTGAGCCACCCCTATATGCTCCTCCTGGTTATTTTGTTTCCATTTACAGATATTTAAAGTCATAAGGTGCTTACTCAGATCCTCCAGTATCCTTCTATTGAATCCCTCCAAGTGGAGAGAAAACTTTCTTCCAACTGTGTTATAAGTATTGTTTCTGCTAGGAATTAAAGACACACACACACCTTTAATCCCATCACTTGAGGCAGGACAGGCAGATCTCTGTGAGTTCCAGGCCAGCCAGGAACCTGACTCAAGACAAACAAACAAACAAACAAACCAGCAAGCAAGTAAACAACCTCAAAACGATCATTCCCTAGCAATTTCCACCAATTTAAGTTTTGTTTTATTCTCTTTTAAAGCTTGGAACAGCATAGCAGTGTGTGTTTCTATATTTTAATTCCCTGTAGTAAAATTTTATGAAATCACTGAAATTCTCTAATTGTTGCACAATTGACTCTAAAAGTTAATAATAGCCTTTCTTTTCACATACTCTTTTATATTCAACTTCATTTATTTTTATGTGGGGACATTTTTCCTCCATGGTGCTGTAATGCAGACCCAGGGCCTACAATACCCTATGCAAGCCTCTAGCCAAACTCCATATCCTACCCCTTCCTGTGGATTTTTATAAACGTCTTCCCTGATATTTTATATTTAGCAGTTGTTGTGCTAACACACTGACTCTCTGTGCATTAGTGTAATTATGAGTTAAACAGGCATATAGAATACTTAGTCTCGGGCTCCCGAACTTGGTATGCATCCAGCCATTCCATGCCTCTCTCTCTCTCTCTCTCCCTTCATCTTTTGGGCAGCCATCTCACTGTGCTGAAGAACACGCTCTTTGCATCGTCACACTAGATGTTAGCCAAAAGCCAGGACGCAGTGTCACATATATGCAGTCCCCCCCCTCCCCCGAGACTCCCATTGATGAAGCTAAAGGCTAGCACTGAAATGGCATTTGCTGTATTCTGTAGAACTGTTCTGAAATTTTCACATATTCTAAAGTGGGAGTGAGGACCAATTGTGTTCAAATTAGTTTTTTTTTTTTTTTCAGTCCTGAAGTGAACACGTCTAGAGTCTCGTTACTGAAGTTTGTTCTACACGTTTCAGCATACAGGGTCCCTCATGCCTCTGGCAGGGCTTCTCTTCCCCTCATCATGAGCACCAGCTAGGCTGGCTGTTCAGAGACTTGCTCCTTGGCTCTTCTTTGTTGTGGCTTTTGCCAGACATTGTCTTATTGTGTCTCCCAGGCCGATCTTGGACTCATGGCCATCCTGCCTCAGCCTCCCCTGTGCTGGGATTGCAGGGTGTACCACCATGTCAACTTTCCTTATCTTTAGTTATAGGTGTTTAATACTTTGGCTTGAAGGTCTTAAAAGTATGGAAGTGAATTCAGTTTGACTACATTGGACTGGAAGGTCTGAGAGTCATCGATATCCTATGGAATGTGTAGCTAAGGAGAACATGAGCATTAGGTGAAGAAGCTGTATCACGTCACTTCTGCATCTCAGTGACCAAAATGTAAGAGGACAACCTTAAGGAAGGCTTAATTAGCTCACAGATACAGAGGGTTCAGTCTACACTTGCTCAGTTAGTTCCATGCACTTGGACAAAACATTCTGGCAACTGGAGCTCCGGACGGAAGACCATCTTTACCTCTTGGCTGACAGGAAGCAGAAAGGGAGGGGAGGGGAAGGAGAGACCCAGGAAGGGAAGGAGGGAGAGGGGAGAGAGGGAGAGACATGGATAAGGTTCCCCGCAGGGCGCACCCCAGTGACGCGCTTTGTCTAGCTCCCACCACCTAATGTATTCGGAACTCTCTAGAATAGTACCAACAGCTGAAGATTCAACAGTCAGCAATGAGCCTGTGGGGAACAGTTTCATCTCAACCATAACGAGTGTTCACTGATTAATTTTCAGGGCCATATTGCTCAAACATGGCTGCACAACTGAATCACGTGGTAAGGTTTACAACTAACATGAATACCTGAGTCTCACCTCCAAGGACTCTGACTTAATGATCCCAACCAGGAACTCAAAGGACTCTTAAAGCTATTTCCTTTCCAGGCGTGATGGTGCACACCTTTAATCCTAGCACTTATGAGGCATAAGCAGGGCAGATCTTAGTGAGTTCAAGGCCAGTCTAGTCTACACAGTGTTCCGTGACAGCCAGAGCAACATCGTAAGACCCTGTCTCAAAGAAAAAGGAGGAAATAAACACAAACACAAAATTCAACTTACTGCCTTTATTATACAAATTCCAGATTAGAGGTTTGTGAAACCTACAGTAAACAAGTATGTGTTGTGTACGTGTATTTAAACAACATTCATCACCACACCATTCGATAGCCCAAAGGAGGAAGTCCCAGGACCCAGCAATAAATAAGTGGGTAGACAAAATGTGGTGTGTACAATATAGGGAGAGGTTGTCTAGCCTTAAAAAGGAAGAGAATTCTGACCCGTGCCACAATATGCACAAACCTTGGCTGAGTGAAATAAGGCAAACCAGAAGAAAATATATGATCCCGCTTATAAAAATGAGCATAGTCAAATTCTCAAAGACAGGAAGTAGACTGAGGTCCTATGGCAGAACAGCCATTTCTCATGGTCTCAACTGTTTAGCCATTTCTCCAGCCCCTACTTGGACTTTAAAAATTAATTTATTTGTATATTTGTTTGTTTGGGTCTTTTAGAGTAAGATCTCACTTTGTATCCCAAACTGGTCTTGAATTCATTGTGTAGCCCAGGCTGGCCTCAGATCTACAGCAATCATTCCTTCTCAACCATCAGAGTGCTGGGATTGTAAATATACTGGTATTAAAAAGTGCACACCACCACACCCAGTTCCTCATACCATTACACCTTGCTAAAAAAACTGTTAGCTGCTCTTACACCCTCACACATGTGTAGACAAGTAGGGCCTGGAGCTGAAATCTGCACAGCTCTGCTGTAAAGACCATTGTGTGTGGAGCCTTTTGAAGTCAAGATTAAAGGTGTTTCAACCCTCCTCACACCTTTGATGCAGGTCTGCCTGGAATGCACATGGACATAAACAAGACTGAGACATCCCTCCACTGTTTCTTCCCTGTTTTGAATGTCCAGTAGATTTCATGAGCAGCAGCTGCAGCTGTTTGGATTCTCCACTGAGGGGAGGTCAGGAAGAAGAATGGCTTGTCATTATCCCCCAGTCACTACTTCTTAAGTGACGAAAGTTATCAAGAGAGAAGTGTGAGCTGCATCTGACTTGATGTTTCTAGTGTTCCAAAGAGAAAGATGAATTGAACTAAAGCATCTCTCTTTGGTATTAGGTTTTGTGAGGGAAAAAAAAATGAGGCAATTTATGTGTGGTCTTGGCTGATGAAAAGCAACGGATGACATTGTCAAGGGAACCCCTCAGGGACTGCGGTCCTGGAGTTCCGCCATAGCGGATGTTGTTAGCAACCTTTTCAGGCATGAGTGTCCTTCACAAAGCACTCTGTGATAAGTTGATGTTGGACACATGTAGGTGCGTCTGCACCAGAAAACAGAGTTCATGAGATCTGCCACATATGCTTCCTTGGCAAGAGTAAGATTAGACCCTCACTGATTTGAGGTGTTCCATACCAGTGCGGCTGCTGTCACAGACTGTATCAACTCCCATGGCTGCTGTAACATGTATGTGCCTTGAAGCAGTATGCGTGTATCATTATACGGTTCTGGAGGCCTGGAGACCAGGAATCGGAAATCAGTTTCACTGAGCCAACATCAGAGTGTCAACTGGGCCACACCCCCTGGAGGCACTAGGGGACAATGTTTCTTTACCTGCGCCAGCGTCAAAAGCTGTGGTCTTTGCATTTCTTGGTGAGGGTCCCCTTCTTCCGGTTTCAAAGCCAGCAGCGTAGCCCATGGTACCCGCAGACACATTTTGTCACTGCATTATGCTACTTTCTGTCCTGTGGTCAGATCTTCTTTCCTTCTGTCCTGTGGTCAGATCTCCTTCAGCCTCCTGATAGGTAACCCAAGACAATTGTCCCATCTCGAGCTCCTGAGTGGAACTGTATCTGCAAAGCCCTTTTTTGCCGTATAAGGCTCCAGGATTAGAGTGTAGACCTATTTACACGCCATTATTCAGCCTCCCACTTGAACAAAATGAACAGTTAGCCCTTGCCTAGTAGCCACTGTATTTCAATGGGAATCTTTTTATGTTTTGAAGCTACAGATTTCATCCTGTC